ACACGTTTAGCTTTCATATTCTGTCATTCTGAGACCTTGTTTTCTTTTTCTTTCCCTTTCTCTGTCGTCTTTCTTACTAGCTGTCTGCAGCATCCAGCCCTTCCAGTCAGAGTCCTCACAGAGCCTCAGGAAAGGACCCCTTTGCAGAGCTCTCTCTCCAGGATTTCTTGTAGAACAACTTAGGTATTGTCCATTATTCTGGGGAGATGCTGGTGTTTGTGATATGAAACAAAAAAGTTCTAATTCAAGTTTTATTAACATGGCTAGAACTGTTTCTGAAGGACATAAAACCAAATCTTGTTGAGTTGGAAGCACTGTGGAAGTGACTTGGAAACTCTTTGTATTTAACTTCAGCAGATCACAGGCTGATTGAGTGTTTTTGCTTCAGTCCATTGGAAACAGAACCAGCTCATGTGATACTTGCTGCAGTTAGGGAGAAGGAACTGGTGCTACCTGGTATTTACCATCTCATCAGGAAAATGTTCAGAGTTCCCCGTTAGCAGCAGAGCCCTGAGTGCTGCTGGCAGGGTGCTCATGTGCTTCCCTGTGGCTTGACAAGAGTTCCATTCATACAGGTGGAGGTGCTTGTTTCACATGTGCCAGGATCCATTTTGGTACAGAGGTGCAGTGGAGGAGTTGTCTTGTTTTTGACCAGTCAGGGGCAGGTGGGAATTAAATAATAAAATGAGTGAAAACATTAAAAAGAAATTTGAGAATTCATAGTATAAAGAGAGAGTAGGCTTATTGCACACAGCAGCTGCTTTTCTTTGTGCACTTCCTCTGGTTCAACATGAAAAATGACCCTGAGTTCTCTTCATAATGGTGTTGGTCTGTGTTATGCTGCCGCTGGTGACAATATTGCATGGATAACTAGGTGGGTTTTATTTTTAATGCAGAGCTGTTCCAAAGGCTGGTGTCGTTGGAAGAACATCCTGATGGCTTTTGGTTTTTTCCAGGCCCTAATTTTTTAAAAATATTTTATTTCTGTTCAAAACTTCAGATCATGGGGTAGCTTGGGCATCAGAAGAATGGAAATTTTTGAAGAAAAAAGGTTTAGAGTGAAGTCCTACTTCTGTTGCATGTTAACCCCAGGGTTTTTCATCTTTCCAGATTCAGTTTATGTAACTGTGTTAGATGGAAGAGAAAGGAACGTTTCCAAAAAGATGTGCTCAGCAGTAAACTCCCACTTCCAGGAAAAAAATGAACTTCAGTCCCTCAAACACTCCTCTTCCATTAAGTGATGCAGTGAAATGATGAAGAGCAATGAAGGAAGCTGGGATACCTCCATAAGAAGACATCAGTACACAACACAAAGCCAAGAATTGCCATGAATTAAGACCAAGATCTATTTTTGTCCTGGTGACTAACACGTCAATACTCTCAGCTTCTAATAATATCCTTAATTGGTAACGTATGAAGAGAAGCCTTCATTCTGGAAATTGATATCGGTGTTTGGAAATGCTGTCTGGATTGGAGATGTGTTCTTTACCGTAACTCAAAACAAGACTCTGGGCAGGGGAGGGTCGAATCCTAACTCTTAATTCTGCAGTTACCTTTTCAGTCCTCACAAATGTAGGCACAGCAGTAATGGAAATTAACTTTTTTTAAAAATTATATATTCAGTTTGCAGTAGACATTCCTTATGTATTATTGTTTGTATTTATTTATGATTATCAATTTAACATTAATATTGTATCAAAAAAACCTCCTTATGAAAATGAGTATGGATGTATACAGTATGTCTGATTTTTATCCACAAAGAATGAATCTGATTCAGAATGCTTTTCAGCTGACATACAGAGCACTAAATATTTTAAAGGTCTGAATCTAATGAATTCTCAGTATATATGGGAATTAGGGAAGAGCTGTAAAACGCATTAATCCTTATAGTCAATTCTGTGCCTAGGATTTTGCAAGGGAACAGTTAACTGACTAGAAGAAGCACTACATTTTTAATTCAGCATTAGTGCATTGGGAAGGAACTTTATTGCTTTGTGCTTGGCATGTCATTATTTTTACATTTGACATTATAAGGCCTTTCCAAGATGAATGTGAGGAATTGCTTTCATTTTGAAGACTTTCCTTCTTTTCTGTAAAAAAAAAATAATTGAGGTGTTGTATGTTGGGGGGTAAGCCTTTTCATTGGGCTCGTTCATGATCATCTACCTTTTAAAAGTAAAAAAGGGGAAGTAGCTTCCTTACATATGTCTAGTGGGTATTTAGTTCACGAGGAATTAAAGTAGCGCTGTTGATCGGTGCTTTGTGTAAATACACCATAACTTTTGGGTGGAGTGGGGCCTTCAGAAGGATAGTCAATGATACGAAAGCAATTCTGTACATGAATTAAGCATACTTGCTGCATTGTCTCTGCAGATTCTATTTTTGTTTAAAATATTAAAATGTATGTTAGCAAAAATGGGTGGATTTTCAAATAAAATGCAGCTTCCACAGAACTTTTGTTACGGTATGAAAGTCTGAGGTGCTTCTTTTATTTCTGCTGCTTAAAATGTGCACTGATAATTGAGTTGTTTACTTAATAAAATACCAAATGTATTTCATACGTGCATATTGTATTTCAGGAAGTGCAGCACTCTGAACCTGTGGCTGCCGTGATCCGTGCAGCCTCTTGCCTGGGCTGCTTCCCTGGACAGCCACAGTGGACACCTCAGTGACCAGGTGTCTCCTTCTTCCTGACCTAACCTGGTATTTCACCACCTTCTAGTTTTCAAGCAATTGATGGCAATAAACTTGGTACTGTTTATAACTGAGCAAGAAGCATAAATAAGTCCCCAAAAATTGTTATCTTCCCTGATTGTACAGCAGAAGGTAGTGCTGGAAAAGCTGTGAACAGTTTGCTGAGAGCACTTTCTGTAATTAGACACAGGAAGAGTTGATAGCAGTGGAACTTTCCTCCTCACAACGACCTGAGGCTTGTCCTGGAGGCCGGGGTATCATAAACTGAGCAGTACAGGTCAGTAAATTTAAAATTTCTTTCTCAAACCATAAATTTAAAAACCCCTGAACCTATTACAGAGTATGTAATACACACACCCAGATCTGGGGAATTTCATACACATTTACTGAAATGTTGTCTTCCTACCACTGGGGCTTTCAGTGTGCGTCAGTTTGCTTGTGGTCAGAATATAAAAAAGGTGAGTTGTTTGAGTTGGGGACCAGCTGGAAAAATAACATCTGTGACCTGTTATGACCTCGGTAAGTACCAGGGTACAGATTGTTCAGACCTTGTGTGAAGGAAGAAGGTAGACCTTCATCCTCCTCCAGAGCCTGATGAACTGGGTTATGATAAACAGATGCTAACCTTCTTAGGCCTCTGGTGCTCTCTGCAGAGTCTAACTTGAGCCTTTTGGCTGAGGATAGATGTGTTCCTAGATCTCCTTGATCCCTTGGACCCTTTGTGTGGCTGTGGACTTGAGACTGCAAATCATGAAAGCACCAAAGAATTGTGAACACCCAAACCCATGTCTTCTGCAGGGATGCTGAACTGTTACCCTGTACTGCTTGCTCGTTGTTGCTCTGTGTTCCTTGAAACAGCTGCTGTGCAGATTAGGCCTTCTTGCTGAAGGTTTTGCTAAAAACCCTTGCTCTTTGGTTTACTCTTTGGAGACAAACTGCCTTGAGAATTTTCATGAGTAGTATTTTCTCATTTGCTTTGTTTGTAAGTGTTTGCCTTCAGTGTCACCACAATAACACTCAGTTTAGCTTAATTTAAAAAGCACAGCACACAGATGTATTTTATTTTTTCATTACTGGCCCTTTTCCATAATAGGGGGTAGTTAAAACCTGGCTCTCTTCAGAATTGAGCTGAAAGGCTGTTTAATCTACAGGAGCAGACTGTGTAGAGAAGCTGCCTGCCCTTAGCAATCAGAGGACGATGGAGTGCTTTGTTAGAGGGATGTGGTTCCTCTTGAAGCTTTGTGTAGGGAACTGGCATGTCAGAATAACCACAATATTTTTATTTTTTCTAGATCAGAGAATTATATAATGAAAACAACTGGATTTACCTCGAGGCAATTACTTTTGCCAGAACAAGAACGTGAACAGCTCCTGAGTTTTCCAACAGCACAAATGTGGAGTCTTCGTATGAAGACAGATTAAGTTCCTTTGCTGCTTCTCTTCTTTGTTTCAAAGTCACAAACTAAACTGAGCTGGTACCTCAGGACATGTTTGAAGTCTGTCTTTGCATGACTTTTTGACATCAGAGGTTCCATTCAGCCAACTGCCAGAATAAGTCACAGAAGTTCCCAGCTGCCAAACAGCCCTTCAGCAAGAAAAAGGGACAGGGTGAAACCCTGCATTAGACAAAAAGTGCCCATTTCCAGAGCCTGACACAAATTTTGTAGCAACATAAATGAATTGCAACTTAAAGGCCATGACATAATTGAGATAAAGATTGTGGCAGAGAAATGAGAATTAAGTGCTAAAAACACTGGGAACGACAATAAATGCTGATGGGAGCAGAAGATTGACAAGATAATGTGAGGGGCAGTGAAAAAATGTGCTGAATACAGACAAAAGAGCAGTGCTAATGGCAGCATATGTAAACTGAGCAAGAGCTTGCTCCTTGGCCTGTTGTCAATCTCTTGACTTGACCTTTGGAGCTCTCACACGACAGTGGAGAGAGCAGAAACAGGCTTGACATCTTCCATTGAGTTTGCCCAACAAGAAAAATCTGTGAGACGCTGCTGTTTTCCAAGCTCAAACTGGAGAGCAAAGGGACTTAGCTGATTGTTCAGCTGCATCCTGGCTGGATCAGGAGAATGAGTGAGGAGGAGAAAACCCAGGGCAGGTTCCCTGAAGGTGTAACATTGCTGCCACCTACTCAGCACCTTTTTGTACTAGAAGGTTGAGTAATAGGATGAGAGATGGCCTCCCCAGGACAACTTCTAGATCAGTCTAGAAGTGAGTAAAACACATTTAATTATTTTCCTGCTTCTCTGATGATGAAATTTCCTGAAGCAAAGATCAAAAACGCTTGGAACAAAGAGACAACTTGCTTTAATTTCTGTGTGAGGTGATACAGCAAATGGGTACAGAGAAAGTGTTGGATGCAAGCATAGTACTTTGGATATCCAGCAGCTGCAGTACACAAGGAGCACTGGGGTCTTGGGTTTATTTTCATAGCATGGATCTCTGCTTTGTTCTTGGCAGTAACTGCTGAACTTCCCTGTGCCAGCTATAGCAATTGCCCAAGTACTGGAGTTTTTTAGAAAAGTGGTACTTGATAGAATTTTAGCTTGTTTTACTTTAATCACTAAGTGAGCAAAGATCCAACAGCATGTTAAATCCTAGTTTTCAGCATGGCTTAATGTTCAGTTGTCAACATATGGGAACATTTATTGGCATCTTGTTGGCGTGCTGGCGTCCTAAAACATTATGGTATTTGTGCGAGACTGCAGAATATGAGCTCTGAAATGTAGTATTGCAAAAAACATCCTTACTTTCACAGTTGACTCAAAATCCAAGGAAAAGCGTTTTTTTGGAGGAACATCCAGCTGCAAAACATCAGTGGCTAAAGATGCTAACACCAATAGATTCTCTGTTCTGTGCTTGTCACTGCTGTGTAACTTTTCAGTCCATTACCTTCTGCCTTGACCTTATTCTGGCAAACTCCTTTTAGCCCACAGAAGCAGTGTTTAATAACTTCTCACTCAGAAAGCAGCCAAACAAGAACAAATGCTGCAGAGCGAGTCTCTTAACCCTCCTTTCCCAAAACGTGCAGGTCTGAACCTGTGGAAAGATTGCTTTGTTATAAAACCTCGCTGCAGTGGAGGCTGCAGACCTCGTACAAACCAGACCAAAAGTGAAATCACCCCCATTCCCTGCAGCTCAGGCTGGGGAGAGCATACCAGCACAGCCAGACTATAAAGCAGGAGAAGCCAGTTGCTCAGAGGGGGTTCAAGCCAGCAGAGTGCTGAGGTAAGCAGCTCCTTTCATCACTGGAGTGGATACAGGCTCTCAGCACACCTCTCCCCATTGTGCTTTTTAGACATTCCATGGATTGATGTTTCTCAGTTCCAGCTCATGGACCTCAGTTCTATTAAAATAGTTTTTATTTCCATGCAACTGGAGTGATGTTTGTATTTCTTTAATTTTGAATTCCAGTGAATACTTGTTGGGCTTTTTCTTCCTGTTGAAACTGCAAATTTCTATGAGCTTTGTTCTAGTTAAACACATAACTAGCTCAGCTGAAGCTTAGATTTGATTGTAATTGTGGAGATACCAGGACCCTTGCTTGCATCCTAGAGTTGTCTTGTGCAACACTTAACACAGTAAAGAAAAAGTATTTCATAATGCTGGGAATACAAGGGTGACTCCCATAAGTTTGGTCCTGACTGGAATAGTGAACTCCAAGTGGGGCTTGGAAGCACTGGCTGTGCTGCCAGAAAGTGACTGATCAGCCCCCTGTTTTAGAACATGCTTCTCATTTCTCAGAGATTTTGCTAGTAACAAATTTATCAAATCCAGATGCCTTGGGCTGCAGACCCAGCTTTCTCCATATGAAAGCCCTGCAGTGGCCTTAATGCTAATCCTGTAGAAATCAAGGGGATTTGGGACACTTCACTAACTATGTTTTGCTGAAGGCTGTTGCTTCTGGCTTGTGCAGGCTGCCTGTGGCTTGTACCCTAATTAGCATGTTTGGGATTTCTTTTTAACTCCCTCTCAGCCATACAGGCTGTTATGGGAAAAGGCTAAACTGACTGGAGGAGGCAAGGATTCTTTTTTCCAGGGTGCAGGTTGATGTTGTCCTGCCATATGTCCTGCACATGGCGTTATGCATTATGGGCATAAGCCAAGAGAAGCCTATAGAAGGGCCATACATGTACACCACTAGAAAATGTAAATCTGCTCTGGGGAGTGGTGGGAAGGAGAGGCCTTTCTTTAACAGAAAAGCCATTCAGCATAAGCCACATTGTAATTCTGCATCTAAAGGAGAAGCTAAACTAATCACTGAGCAGAACTAATCTCTCTTTCAAGTCAGCCATTTCATGGGGCGTGCACTGCACTGAAAGCAAGGCAGGGGAGCTGAGGGGAGGCATCTCTTTGGCTGCACACACAGCCCAAGTACAGATCCCCATTCCATGGACACTCAAGAGATAGGAATCACCTCAGCCTTCACAGTCACTCCACTGGGTTACAGCAGGGGCACATCCAAACTCCCTTTACTGTTCACCACATGGCAGAGAAGTGAGTCAGTGTGAGGTGAGGTCTGCCTTTACCTGGAGTCTGCCACCTTTACCTGTCTGCTTGTGATCCCAGCCTTGGAGGAGCTTGGTCAGTGGAGCCCAGAGACCAGTGGGACTCACCTGCAGCCCAAGGAGACACCTGCTGGGCAGGAACAGCTGAGCGTGCTTGGAAAACCAAAAGCGTTTGCACTGAAGTACAGTTACATTGAGATACTGCACAGAGATAGAGGTTGTTTAAAAAGTAAATATTTTAAAAAAACTTTTATTCCAAACAGCTGATTATCTTGTCAAGGGTTTAAATTGATTATTCAATGCTGTCACAAGTTTCTAATGAGGAAATGCATGGGTCAGAGCCCACATGTGGGAAGGACCTGTTGTGTGCTGCTGAGAGTGTCCAGAGGGAGCCCCCCACTGCATCAGTGCACTAAGATATATGTTCAAATAGACCAGCCACAAACCAAGGATATGGGCTTACACAATATATTTGGCCAATTCTAAACAAACAAAATATTTAAGACCTTAGTGATTTTTATGCTGGTTTTAAATAGGTTTTAAATTAATTTTTGTTTATTTCAGTGTATTTAAGTAGGGGTCTTGTGGAGACAGATAAAAAAGCATTCAGACACTCAATTTATAGCAATAGTTGGATTATGCTTGCAAAAATTAATTCTGCATTATGTATTTTGTAACAGTTCTGTGTTTTATGGCAGCCTGCATTTACCCATTCACTGTCTGATCAAGAGGGAATTCCACATCTGCAAGTAGTGACCACACAAACTAAATATTAGCTCAGATCTTTTAGTAGATAAATGCACTGCTATGTGGACTGAATACCTCAAAGAGCACACAAGACCTCTCTCAGTGGTAAGGAAAGGAACCTTTCAATTAGCCTCTGCACACAGACATTACCTCTCATGAAACTTATAATCATGATTCAGGCATTCTAAAATAGTTTCCTCAAAGCCCCATGCCACACAGAAGAGAGCAAATATTTAATTAACTGAGAATGTTACATTTCTGTGCAAACAGCACAGCTTGTCTAGTTTTCATCAACATTTTCCTTAAATAAGGCCTTGATCATCTTAGCTGTGATATGCCCATCTGATTTACCAACAGTATCCTTTTCTCTGTGGCTCCAGCTTGGCATTTCTTCTGGCTCCTTACAAGCAGGCACAGCTTTTCCAACCACGAGCAGCTTTCTCTTCAGAGGTCCCAGTTTTGAGTATGCCTTAAGAAGAAAGAATATGGTCCTTGCAATTTCATAGAAAAGCAACCATTCTTCAAAAAACCCCAAACACCACCACCAAAACCAGCAACTTTTGTTTTTAAAGCAACTGTAGAGTTGCTGCTCTGGAGCTGTGTTTGGTAATGTCAGTAATAATGGGCTTCTTTTGCAAGCCAACTCGTTTTAGGAGGCTACAGCCCTGCTGCCCTCTTCTTCTCTGTGTTTTTACCAGTATCACCTTTTCTATAAACTAACTTCTAATCTCAAACTCAGTTCTTTGAGAAGAATTAAACTAATGCAACAGCTCACTCCTTCCAAAAAGAGAGAGGTCCAAGCCCAGCCATGTGCTTTTGCCACATCTGCACTGGCTCTGGTCTACTCCAAACCTCTGAATCTACTCTGTTGACCAACCCAACAGAAAGTAGTTCAGGAGGAGAAAGAAAAGGAATGGTTTTCATCTGGGCTAGAGTTCATCAGCTACAGGAAAGGCCAATGTGCACTGTTTCCTCAACCCCATCGTTTGCACCCAGGAACACCTTCATCCTGGCTTTCTGTTGAAGGAATATTGATCCTTTAATGCTACTGTGCAACACAGATTCTAAAGGACCTGTTCATTGCCATCCAAGCCATCTCTCATTAGTTGACATTCAGAATTCTTTCTAGGGGAATTTCACCCTGACACTCCATGGGATGATTCCTAGGACACCATTCCATTGGCAAAACACGTGCCTCATGGTATCAGAGATGCCTGAAAACATCCAACACATCCACGTGAGGTCTGTAGGATACAGAACCTGTGCTCTTTTGGCCCAGCATTTGAAGGACATGGACCTAACTGTCCCAAACAGCATGAGAAGACTACAGTCCATCTGAATTGCCCAGCAGGTAAAGGACATTGGATGTCATATCACCACTGGAAACAGAAGGGTCCTGACAGTAGCTCATGCTCCATACTGAAAGATGTTTGTGTCATGGAAGACCTGATAACTCTGACTCATACCTGGAACTCTTCTTCATCTTCATACAACAAGCTGTCTAGGGCTGGAGTGAAGAATTTTTTCCGTGATTTTTCATCACTGTCTGGAGGCTTCTTATAATCTGTTTTAGCCCGAATCTTTGGAAATGCACTTCTGAGGCTCTTTCCATCTGTCTTTGCTTTATAAAGAGAAAAAAAAGGAAGTGTATGTAATAGTCAAGCCTTATAGAAGTCAGAATCAGTACCTGATAGGAGCATTGCCTGCAATCTTTAATATGGCTTAGCCCCTGTGATGCAAAGAACAGCTTGGTAGCATTTTTAATTGACAATTCAAGCCAAATGTTCATTTACATTGGGGTTTTTTTTGGTTTTTTTTTGTTCACAATTTTGGATCAAGATCCAGGGACTGAAATTGATTGGAAGTTAGAACTAATGGATCTGTAGGAGGGGGCAGGGATAAAATGAGCTTTTGTCAGTTCAACTTAAATCCTGCAGAGTCCTGAATAGTTAAAAATAATAAGAAAGGCAGCAAAGCTAAGTATAAACTTCTTCTATACCCATGTTTGTGTATCTATAGGAACATAACTACAAGTTCCTGAAACACAGTTTACTTACAACTCCCCTAAAGAGGTCACATCTGTAGCTGACTCATTCTCAGGATGACAGAGGATTTTGGACATGGACTGCCAAGTTACAGGTTTGGCTGTGACTGTGACCCAGCTTATTGGAACAAAGCCTTCTCCTCCACATAACTATTGCAAATGTCTAGCAAAGGCATTCAAAGTAAACATGTATTTAATACAGAAGTCTTTGTCAACACGTTTGCTGTTGCCCGATGATTTCAAAAGGCCCACCTATGGCTAGGACTGATCAGAACTTCAACAAACTACTTCATGTATCTATAACTGTATGACTTCCATTTTTCTAACATATCTCTTTAATTTTGTATTAAAGAAATATGTTAGAATCATCTTCTACTTTTTTCCATCCTCTTTCTTCTACTCACACAAAGATGTCAAAATAATTTTTGATACTTAGGAATCCACAGAGACTCTACTAAACAGATAAGTGCAGGCTCATGCTCCTTCTTGCCTAATGGTATATCCTTTCCCTAGCCACACCTACAAGAAGGGATGGAGATTCAGCCCAAAATTCAGTACTGCTTACCAAAATTTTCAGATCAGGTTGAGCTCCGTGTAGCTTAATCTGCTCTTGCTAGGGATTTAGTTATAATTCAACTCTGGTGTATTGGATGAATGACTGCAAAGTGCCTGTACACTAAAAGTGAAAGCCAACATGGAGTTTCAGAGTGTCCTCTCAGGGACAAGCTATAATGAAGTTATAGAAGTTATATGGATCAGTAAAGAACTGATTAAGGTATGATTCATATCTTCATAAAAGATGGCCAATCCTGTAAACGTATTCCAGGTTAGCTCTAGATGAGTAATCATATTCCACAATCTAAAACCAATTTAAATTTTAAAACTGTATTACAGATAGATTGTGATTTTGTCTCCTTATGCAAATTACAGTCTATCATGGCCGTGGTGGCTGCAATCAAGAGGGAAATAAAGTGTTCTCCATGTCAAACAGGTAATTTGAATAAAAAGTTTCAGAAATAAAAAGTCTGTAAATGTTCAGTAACTTAGCATTTCTTACAAGCTGCTGACATTTGCATTACCTGTATATTCTCTTTTTCCCCTTTTTATTTCATCCTTAGGAAGTTCTTGCAAGCCAGCTCCCTTTGTATGAAACAAATACCTATGGAGTAAAAAATATAAAGTGAAACCCATAACAGGGGTCTGAATTTGCTCTCTAAACTGTCCTGTGCAATGATTTGGGGTGAGGGAGAGGCCACCCTTTCTGAGAGCCACTGCTGCTTAACCACAAAGGCAGAACAGCGCAATGACCCAAAAATGCAATGGAGGCAGCCAGGTAGCTTAGTGGCTAATAAGCAATAAGCTGCTCTTTTATTCTTAGTGCCTTAGTTCAACTATGTCCATGAGACTAAAAGAAAACAAATATTATAGTCTTGGACTGTGGTCAGTCCAAGATTCAGACCACAGTTGGCAGCTCTCACTTCAAAGAAATCCAAAGTTTGGAAAGGAGAGAAAAATGGTCACTTCTTAAGACTTGAACTCTTTGTGCAATATGGCTAAAATGACTGAGCTGGGACTGGAAACTCAAGATGGATCTCTCATATTGTTGCATTGTGCTTTTGATACCATTAGTGTTGACATTTTGTAGCTAAATTAATCTTTCTCCAGGGAAAAAGTTAAATCATTTCAACACAAAAGAAGCTAATACTACAGACACATCTGCAGAGAGACATTTTCCAAGGTCTCTTCCTCTCTCAATGTCAGGTCATTTGTTTCACTCAAAACTGCAAACCTCCTATATATTTACAAATTAATCTTCACATCTTTAAACATTTTGCAAACAGTAAAGAAAAAATCTATTATTCAGCACTTAGTCTGAAAAGCTGGGGCTGAGAACATCTTTTGCAACCATCAATTGCAACACAACGAAATTATTCCCAAGCCTAAGTGATATAAAGTGAATACTGTTAGGTCTTAGTAGATTAATTAAGGACCCAGTTTCTTCCCTGAAATTCGGTACTTGAAAAGTCACAATGTTATTGTCATCCTTCAGAGATACTGCTCCCATGTATATTCAGTCAAACCCTGTCTTTCCTCAGCTAGGAAACCACCTTGGCTTTGATGTGGGAGAGCTCCTGTCTGCCCTCTAGCTCTAGAGGCAGACAGGAGCATTATCTTAAAAAAACAAAACCAAAAAAACCCCCAAAAAACAAGCCCCAAACAAACAAACAAACAAACAAACAACCTACTAAAAAAAAACCAAACCCTTCTGAGTCCATGAAAGCATTATTTTACCCTGATACTCCTAGTTGCTGAAGTTTGATATCAATCAATTTTGCCACTAAAGTGGTATTTTCTTCTTCCAGGAGCTGGACAGAAGCTTTCAAATCCCTTTCTTCCTTTCGGTAGATCTTAACCTTTTGACAATCAAAAAAAATAAAAGAAAATCTTAGAATTTTGGAAAGCTTTGGTAGCAACTATCTTACCAGTACATACCTAGGAGAAATGCAGCTGTATCAGCAAGATTGCACATTTGGTGGGGAAACATAGTGACACATCTTTAAACAAAAGGAAGGAGAGACTACTTATTTCACACCTTTATGACAACATTTTACTGTCACAGCACACGTGTGTCAATCACAGCACACATCTGGGCTATGTAACCCTGACAGCAAAACCTTCTTGTATAGTTAAACACGTCTGCCAGACAGGAGCTCTGGATTTTTATTTTTTGCTTTCACATCAGAGCTTTGAGAGAGGAAAAGCTTCTTTGCAGAGGTAAAGTCAGAGTCTTACTCAGCAAGTGATGTTTTCCTAATTCCTTCCTTCTTACCCAGAATTAGTGAACTTTTCAGTCCAAGTTACCCCAACATTTCTTCCCTCAGAGAGTGGTGGTGGGGCTCTGGAACAGGCTCCCCTGGGTCACAGCCCCAGGGCTGACAAAGCTCAAGGAGCATTTGGACAATGCTCTCAGTGGGGCTTCTCAGGACCAGGAGTTAGACTCAATGATCCTTGTGGGCCCCTTCCAGCTCAGGATGTTCTGTGGTTCTGTGACACTGGCTATGCCCAGGTACTATTTGCTTTTGGGCTGGTAATTACCCCTTATCACTGTGGAGATATACAGACCAAAGGATGCTGGTTATTCACTTCCCACAATTCCTCACACTTTTGCACAAGTATCAGCAAGTTCTTACCCCCTTCACTGGGGAGGGGAATGTATTCTGGGAAAGAACTTCCCAGAAAGCTTAGCCATATGCACGTGTTCAAGAGAAGTACCAAGCTATCTGAAAGCGTCCATTCTCATCAAAACCAAATTAACCCAGCTACAATCATCCAAATTTGCAGTTAAAACTAGTTCCAGCTTCTCCCAAGGATTAAAAAGGTGAAAATGACCAGTAACAGGATGTGGCTTGGCACAGTGAGGTGATGCAGCTTTGCACCATCTTGGTGTGACACAGTAACCATGGAAATATGTGACTGAAGTCTCCAAATCTGTTTTAATTTTGGAGGTAACTAATCTAGAGCTATTTTGGTAAGTCATTTTTCAGTTCAGTGGCCAAACTTAAATTAAAAAAAAAAAGAACTGAGACAAAACTAAAATTTTTGGTTTATCACCCCCAAAGGAAATACTGAAACAGTCTGTCAGCTACATATAAACATTAGTCTGAGAGAAAATATTTCATGCATGTAAGAAAAGCAGAGAAAATGAATGGGTGAATTCAGAGGACTGGAGAAGTTAGTGATAATAGTTTTGTTTTTCCCCCAAATTTCAAAGCAGTAATTCATAACATAGGAAAGTAGCAACTTAGGAAAGTAACTCATAACATAGGAAACTTCTACTTGAGAGGAAAGAAATCCAAATCCCTGAGCTCTGAGGTGAGGGCCTGTCAGGACATAAGAGTACTCCAAAGTGCTCTCTTGTTGGCACTGCTAATGTGTGCAAAAACTGTTCAGTGAGACAGGGAGAAGGGAAGAGAATTCATACTCATTCAGTGATGGGATGTGTAGATTTGAGCCTGTTTGTTTATACAGAATAAAACATTAATTCTTTCACATTTCTTTCCCCTACCCTCATTGCTTCAGAAGTTGTGGTTTGGACACCCTTCCTGGAAAGTTAAAGATGCATGCTCAGAGCTCATTAAGGGGAAGAAGGAAAGCTGTGTCCCTGCATACTGGCAAGTACCTTAAATTAGTAACTAAAATGAAGAACCTCTGCCAGGTTTGTTGATGTGGCATGGAAAAGTAAGAAGTACATTTATTAACTTTCCAAACAGTTTTACTCAGTTCTCAAATGTGAGGCTGTACAAGTGAGGAAAGGCATTTCAGCCACCAATCTCATGCTTAGATTTGATTGAAACAAAGAACCTATATTGACTGGAATAAATAAAATCAAACTTTCACTATGGAAAAAATTAGTTTCCTAAATAGGGCACAAAAATATTTTCTTGTCAAGAAAATTACAGCTATCTAATATATAGTTCTAAATTATCATTAAAGGTCAGTATAAAAGCTATCAAGCAATTAATTACAACCATATATGATTTTGATTTTTCTCTCTTCAGTGTAGAGTCCCCATGGTTTCTTTATGACCTTCCATTTAATGTCATCTCAAGCCATTTCTCAGAACATGTTTCAACATCCATATCCATTTTCTTTCAATACAGCAGCACTAGAACTTTAATGCAATTCAAACCTCCCCTCTTCAGCTACTCACCTGGTCGATCCTTTATAGCATCCCAATCGCCACAGATAAAAATCCTTAATTGTATGGAACATTACACTCCTTCATGTAACAGCTTGGGCAGAAAAGGGGGTCCTCCATTTGTGAAAGCAGATGTTCACCTCTTACCTTTATTCACCACATTGCACTGCTTTCTGCTCAGGATTACAGATTAATTACTGGAAAATTGCTCTCCTTTGCCAACAGAAGTCTCCTGAGGCCCATGACTGGAAACAATTCTGACCACAGCCACAGTATTTCAAACATAAACTGCTGTGATAAACTGCAGGCAAGCGATCCTCTTACCTCTTCTTTGAGCCACTCATTCTCCTCAATCTCTCTGCGACAGTCTTTGTCTAAGTATCCCACAGCATTCTGAGAAAACACAATTTAAGATAATCTCATCGGAGAGCAACACTTTGACAGTCCTGCACACTATAAAGAAGAACTGTCTGCTCTTTAGCAGGAAATAATTAAGACACATCCACACAACAGACTGTAGCATCCCCTGAGGGATTACAAGGGGATTTAGTTCACAAGGCCAGATGTTCCTCCTCTATCATCCTGCCTAGGGTAGATTATATGTCAAGCAATTTACCAATATTTTTTCATTTCCCATATTAAAATAGGACATTTCCTTTCTATGTTCCCAGTACTGCTCAAGTCTTACTGCTTTCAGAAAATCAAACCTTCAACTATTAAGGACCCCAAGTAAAATCCCAAATGAGACTGGGATTTTATGTTCCCAGTACTGCTCTACAACAAGTGACGTAAGCATGTAGAGGTCTGTGCTAATGACCCAAGACTACGATTTAATTATTGATGTCAGTAAAACGGAAAAGAAGAAGTGGGAGGGAAGATGCCCCTGCAGATCACCATAAACACAGTCCTCCTGGATTATGTTCTCACATGACTGGAAATTCCAGCACTGAAGTCAGGGAATTTAAACACCTAATGGGCCTAGTGGTTTGTACTGAAGTATGCTTTGCATTGAAAGTAAGAAGTTGCCACTAGAGCTATTTGTAAACCATGTTTTCAAACCAGAGCTGGCAGAGATGACAAAATCATAGTGAATCAATAAACCTATGTTGTCCTGAGACTGCACTATTATGGCATTTAAAAAATGCTGTACTTTACAAGTAAAGTGAAACCTTTTTTTTTTCAAATTGATGTATATTATCATGCAATCTCTTTGTATGTTACTGCTTATTGAAGTCTGTGTAAATGTCAAAATCAAGGCCATGGCAAAAGCAACATGTTCTCAAACAAGCCTTGTCAGTGCATGGTGCCCCAGTTTCCCGTGCCTTGTTTGTAAAATGCCCTCACATCTACCCATTGTTATTCTGGTGGAAAGGAAAAAAAAGGTACACATATGTATAGCAATAACCAAATCCATATGTATCAGGATTTCCATGTTATTTTGCTTTCAATTTAATCGAAAAGTTTGAAGTCTTAACATGAGTTCAATAATTAATAATCCAGAGTGCATATTTCCCAACTATAACGTGGTTAGCAGTTTTTAAAAAAAGCAAAAGAATACCTTAAGAGCTTCTTCACTGAGTAATTTCATGTGCCTGTCAAACAGTTTCTGATTTTCTTCTTTCACAACTTCCAAAGCTTCTTTATAATATTCTTCAAAACAAAAAACCAGGGAAATCAGAAATCATTATTTGCCATCATTTTTTTCCTGATAACAGATAGATAACTGACATGTCATTACTAAACTGCAGCTTATCAGTGAGTGTTGCCTGCACAGATGCTCCACAGAAAAGGATTCGAATATCCTTTTCCAAAGAAATTGCCCTTCTAAACCCAAAGAACAGTAGTGTTAACTACAAAATTAGAAATTGGAAGTGGCTTACACACTTCTGTTCACAACTGCAACAGCAATCAATTCACTGCTAAATGAGCAGTGATCTAAGCAATTCTCTGCTAAAATATTGGCACCTTAACATTAAATTTTGTCTCTATCAAGAGCAGAGCTCCTGGAGCCATATGAGAGATTTGCTTAGAATTTTATTTTTTTTTGACATAGAAGCATATTGGATCTCCTTATCCACATTAAGTTTTTTCAGACAGTTATAATGTGCCTAATAAATTTTCTGACTTATCTAAGGCTCAAAGGTTCTAATTTGACAGCAGGACAAAATGGAGAATGTGGCAATTGCCACAATGATTTGCTTCTATTATTACTTGTGGTCATTATTTAGAAAGTGTGTCTTACATTGAACTGAATAGGTTTGGCTTCATGTTCTAGTAATTTTCTATTTAATTATTTCATTCCTCCCTTCAGTTCTTTTGTTTTGGCTCTTCTAAATAGCTCACTTCTGCTTGATATTTCCTCCTTCTGAAGGAATGAATGAGATTGCAGTAATTTTCTGTGAAGGAAGGCAGAGCACACTTGTTCCAAAGGATTGAAATTCAGTCTTTCACTGCATTTGTGTTGCAGACAGCCTATTTCTGATCTAGCTGTAAACAAATATCTGCTCATGGATGCACTGTGGAGTCAAAGGCAGTCAAATATGAAAGGTGTATTAGTAGTGCATTAATTATTAATTTAACACTGTGGAAGCTGGACTCCACCATCTAGACTTGGCAGAATGAAAATTAAGTACTTCCATACTATAATGAATTCACTCTTCCATTATTTCAGAAAGCTAAATAACCTGAGTAGTACTTGAAGAATGAAAAAGGAGAAACTGTGTGTCTGAACAGTTCCTAAAGAGGCTGTCTTCTCTAATCTTCTCACTGCAACACTTTTCCCCACACATCACCTGAATGTGTGGCTCTCTTTTGCTTCCACTCCTCTCCTGCTGTTTTGCTTAAAATGTCACCACCAGAAAACATGAACTGTGCCAGTTCCAAGCCCTTCAGTGGTAGACACAGACAGAAACCTGTTCACCTATGCTTATTCTCTAAGGCTGTTAAACATTCAAGGTGTGCACAAGCCAAATTTGTTGCTGCCTTGCTCTGAAAGCTTGATAGATTTCTGCTGGAAGGCTGTACTCCCCAGACACTTTCTAGGTTCAGTTTTAGGGAGTTAAGCAAATTAGTATGGTGAACATCCAGTACTGTCAGCATCACTTTCTAGTGTGTTATGTAGGCCATTTACACATGTACCACCATAACATGACTTTCAATAAACACGCCATGAATTTTTGTCAAACCACGACACTCTGTACCCTGTGGCACGCAGGAGATCAGACTGTCCCTACTGGCATTCTGCATAAAAGCCTATTATCTTTTTCACTTCATATTTCAGCAGCTATATAGCGAAGTTCTAAATCAATTAAGAACATGGATAATGAGTAATGAAAAAACCCCAACCTCTCCTGAGTACAGACGTGGATATCTGACAAGCTATCTGGAAATGTAGAAATCACACAGCAGATCTTAATGGTGGTAAAATATGTTTTGAGAGACAAAAAGATAGCTGGCTGGCTCTTATTCACAGTAGCTGATGCCTGGTAATGGCTGGCACAGAATATACAGAGACCCTTAGAGCAGTGTCACTGCCTGTTACTACCAGCTGCTTGGCTGCGGTCACGCATACTGAGAGGGACATAAAGAAAGAAAAGCAGGACATCCTTCTCCTGTTGGAAACATGAGTTATGTAACAGCAAAATATTTAAATTATTTTAAAATAATGCAGTAATAAAGAAACCTTTGTAAAGCACTCAGCACCACAATATATAAGTTCTTATTTCCACTGCTGTGACAGTGCTGAAACAGTTCTCGGTACGTGTCTGTATGGGTGATTTTGCAGGGCCTCACACTGTGCAGCTAGGAGGGAAGGCCCAGAGCGCTGGCTAAAGAGCTCCCTCTAGTCCTGCATGTAAACCAGCACACTCCACAGAAAAGACTGTTCCAAGAATGAGCTCATACTACTTTCCTGTCAAAGGAGCTTTCAATATGTGAAGTGCTTGTAGATGATGAGAACTAACAGCAGCAGAGTCAACATTTTCAAGTATGACTGCTAAGGGAGCCCTCTGTGTAGGTGACCTAAATATGTGTAGACTTATTTTTACAAAAAAACTGCTATCCTTCTCAGTAACATTTTTTTTAAATGGGTCGCTTGTGTTTTACAAGAAAACTGTCAAAGGACCAGCTTATCAGTTTCTTGAAGTGTCATAATTTCTCTAAACTTTATCAATTTATTTAATAAAGGAACTTTTACAGAGAGAGAAATAAAGAAAGGGAGTCCTTATATTTTTCAGGATTATGCAGTCCATCTTAGGTGCACTTAGAAAAGTTCATGCAAATTACCAGAAAAGTTGATACAAGTTACTAGAGCTTGATATAAAATTAATTTTATCATTTAATTCCTGCAAGCAATATGCAAAGACCCTGTAAGACTTGCATTATATCAGCTGTAAACTGACCTTCAGTTCTTTCAAGTTCATATTTGACATCAGCAATGTCTTTTTCCAGACTGCTAATCCTCTCAGCATGTATTTTACTTCCAACATTTTTGTACTCCAACCAATAATCTCTCTCACGCTGCTTTTCTGCAATTCTTTTCTTAGTTTCTTCAATTTGGGAGCGCAGATCTATTAAAATAAGAATGTCAAAAGACAAGTTCATTACTGATTTATTGAACTGCTAATTCTTAAAATGTCAACTTGTTTAAGAAAGGTGCTTTCACAGGGAATGGAAAAGGAAGGGGGATTCTTCCACATTATAAGTACATTGCAACCTGAGGGCCTTACATAGTTTCAAGGGCCAGCATCATTCTGAAAACAGCTTGGTCTTATTCTTCCAAAGAGAGACAACTGTTCTCACCAAAATGTTGTAACCAAGGTCACATGTCTCCCACAGAGAATCACAGGGATGGCAGCCAGAATTTTCAACACTCAAAACTGGTCTTTTTTCCTGCCATCAATACGTTTTTGTTTTTTATCTTCAGTAGAGGCAGTGATTAGGCCCTTCATGAGTTTCAAAAAAGAGGAAGCTTCTGCACTTGCACAATACTATACATCACTTGGAAGGGACATATTATTTTATAAGTCCTCCACAATCTCACACTAAATTGAGAGAGCCCAGTTTTGGCTGAGGAATAGTTTTATATTTTTAACACAACAAAGAAGTTGAATCTCCACTTAAATTGCAGAACAACAACATGTACTCAATCCCAAGTGTGTAAACTGCAAACCACGCTTCCCCAACGTACAACATACCTTGAAGAAGTTGTTCCTTGTCCTTCACAAACTGAAAAACTGCTTTCAGTGACTCTTCCACATCATCCCTGGTTACAACCTCCTTCTCATCTCGTTTTTTCTCCTTTTCTTCTATTTGCCTTACTAAGCGCCTGATAAGCACCTTTTGTTCTTCCTTCAGAACAACATTCTAGAGAAAGAAGACATAGCTGATATTAAAATGTTCTCTAAGTGACAAACTTAAGCAAAAAAAGTAAAATCTAGCCTAGTGCCAGATGAAATGCAAAAACACCCAGCTAAACACTTGTTATTCATATTCTGAAAGGTTAGAGCAGAAGGGAGAATTTGCAAGGCTCAGATATTTCCTCAGTAACGTCAAGACCACTGGAAGGAAATGAGAGACAAATTACAGCTGTACTTGGTACAGCCCACCAATAATCCTCCGTTGCCTGGAAAGAAAGGTGCTTGTAGATAATTTAATAATAATGTTGATATGTAGGAGCTATTTGCTTCATATCAACATTCTTCATGAGAATGTACCATTTTCATATAGAAAAATCATGAGACAGTCAGGTCACTTGCATCTAACCACAGAAAAGAGTCTTGTCAGAGTTGAAATTAGTAATGTGTCCTGATTCCACAACTGTGATCACAAGCCTTGGCCATGACCCTCTCTAGTGACACTCAGATTGTTTGAAATTACTGATTGTGTATGTTTGCTCCCACAGGATACCACAGAGGAGCAAACAAGTAGTAAGTTAGCAACACTTAGCAGGCAGTAGAAAGAGTCTCAAGCTTTCCTCACCTCTAGGATTAACTCTAAACCGCTCAGCAACTTTAAGCAGGAAATAAAGAATGGAGTTCAAAGCACTATCAAAACATGATTAAATTAAAACAGTAGCACTTCACCGATGCCTTAAAGTACCCTGCTCAATCCAAAATACGGACTCCTTGAAAGACCATGAACTAGCAGCGAACTGGGGGAATAACTGTAGAAAGATAGCCAGGGGTAAAATTAGAAGAAACTGGGAAGCTGTATTCACATCCTAAGAGGTTGTAGTGGTATAGAAATTAAAGAGTAAAATGCAGCTGCCACTGCCTGAATGGAATGCAGCTGGCATGCTCAAAACCTATTCCATGATGATGCCTTACAATCTGCAACCACAGCCCCTGCTAAGGGGGATGGAACAGAGGGTGGAACAGAGTGGAGACGCTGTGGCCAGGCTGCGTAGAAATCTTTGCAGGGAGGGGAACTCAATGTCACTCTGTAACTGATGAACAGCTTATCACCTGTCAGCTAGAGGAGAGAAGATGAATGACTAGAGTCACTAAAGCTCCACCTAAACATAAAGAAATAGTATAAAAAGTAAGTCAGGATTGGGAAGAAGTTTAGGAAGTCCATCATAACTGCTGGAATCAGTCATAAGGCTGAACCTGTCTTCTCCCCCATAGGGATACCTACTGGGTTAGAAACCATGCTCTGTAAGCATTGAATACTTTAGATTAGAGCTTGTCTGTGTGTTGCTTTGAATATGTCTTTGCAGAAAGATACTATCACTGAAAATCCTCAAAACTTAATCTGTCACAACTTTATGTTAATAGAGAGCAGTATTCCATAAACGGTCAGTGTGAGCCCTTCACGGGCTGTCAGTAACACACTCAGACAAACTGGGGAGACCACTGAGGGGTCACAAAGTGGGGAGATCCACTGAGGGTCTCCCTTATGCTGTTGCTCTATGTCTCTGAACAAGGCAGTTGAACCACTCTCCAATCCAGCAGTATAACCAGAAGAGACATATGACCCAACAATAATCATAAAAGCCCTCAGATGCCTGCAGAAAAAAGAGCAATTGCCACTTCCAGTGATAGTCAAGCCACAAATGAAACACCACCCAGGCTTCAAGACTGAAAGAAGTACCACAGAAAGCTAAACAGCAGGATTCTTATAAAAGCAGGGCAAGCATCAGCATGGGAAGGACAGAGAGGCGTTGTTTCAATGTTTCACTGCTATGAAGTGCAGGCTGCAACATGATCCAGAATAAGGATTTTTTGAGCATTTTCACTTAATTTCAATAGGTGACTCTCTAATATCTATTTTCAAAGTTCACTGCTCACAGTTATCAGATGCCATATTATGGCTGTTTATATACAGCTCATATGCATGGTTCTTTAAAGTGCCACTCAGGTGAGATCAGTAGTTACATAACCTTGTTCTAAAAATTACCCAAAACAATTCTTAATCTATGAGTATGTCTTCATCAATCAGTGCCAGAAATCACAGCTAGTAAATAACATGATGGTCTTTCTCCTTTATTCAATTTTTATTGTAATTAAGTTTGCAGCAATAACTAGATTCTTACAAAAACCTGTGCAATTCCATTATTTCAGAAGTGATTCAAAGAAGCTCAGCTATTCTCAGTGCTTGATTAGGTCTGCTAATACTACTCACAAAAATTAAACTTATACCATTTATTCTTCATGCACTGGAATATTCAAGAATATTTGTAGGAGTGGTTAAAAGGTATATCTGAATGTACTGCAGTACCTACTCAAAGGAGGCATGCTTTCCTGTGCTTGCTGCAGAGAAAAATGCCAAAGAAGGGCAACAAAGTTGATAAAAGGACTAGAGCAGAAGTCTGATGTGGAGCAGCTGAGAATGTTTAGTCTGGAGAAAAGGAGGCTCAGGTGGCACCTTATCTCTCTACAACCACCTGGAATGACTTTGTAGCCAGGTGGAGGTTGGTCTCTCCTCCCATGTAACAAGTAACAAGGCAAGAGGAAAAGGAAATTGTGCCAAGTTTAGATTGGTATTAGGAAAAATTTCTTCACTGAAAGGGTGGTGAGGTATTGGAACAGGCTGCCCAGGAAAGTGGTGGAATTGCTATCCCTGGCAGTGTTCAAAAGACATGTGGATGTGGCACTTGTTGACCTGGTTTAGTGATGAACACAGTGGTGCTGGGTTAAACAGTTGGACTTGATAATCTGAGAAGTCTTTCCCATCCTTAACAATTCTGTGATTCCATTAAATATGTAGGTGGTTATAAGGATCTCTCGTGCATTGGAAAGCACCTGCACTGAACTCACTTCACCTTAATGCTCTGTCCAATTCTGTAATGTTCTACTCCTACAGCTTCTTTTTAGCATGTTATATTTAGGACATTTATGCTATATGTCAGATTTAATTCAGGTAACACTTTAACTTTCAGCACATAAAGTGACTCACTAACTTCAGTTTCATTGACTGTAACAAATTCACTGCAATAACTAATTTTAAAGTATGCAGTATTCGAATGGAAAGAATAAAACTGAATCTATGAGTAAGACTACCACAAATGAAATTTGTTGCATAGTCACTTACCTTTTTAATATTTTCTTTGATCTTTTCTTCCAATCCTTCCAGATGAAACAAAACCCGTGCAATTGCTGCTTCTTTTGCCGCAATGCTATGAAGAGAGAGTAAAGAAAGCGACAGTCTTACAAAAACATTAGAGAAAGGAATGCTATTTAAGCTAGATTAGATGTAAATACTACCAAAATGTTTATTTTCATATCACATTTCTTGACTCATTTGGGTAAGTACTACTGTCTGCTTATTACACAAAAAAGAAATTATTTCCCACATAGATGTGGGCCTGCATGTTAGCCTGGATTTCATACCCCTACAGAGCAGCAGACTCCCTGGTTGTACTGTTCCTGTGCAGCCTCCTGAGAGGCTGGAGCTGGTTTGCTCATTCTGCATGAGGCTTAGCTGACCTGTTACACAGGTCACTTCCAGGACAAGATTATTTGTGCTACAAAAAATATTACTCTAGTATGCTGTACCAGCATTCATTCATCATATGGGGCAATAGAGGCAAGTATTACAATTATCACAAATCTTTTATTCTTTTAACAGTTCTTCTTCCTTCAGTATTTACTTTGGGGGTTCGGGGTGCTTTTTTGTGGTTTTGGGAGTTTTTCCCCTTCTCTACTGCCTTCAGCTATTTTAAAAGAAGATAATTTATTTCCTGGTTAATTTGCTAAGTTTGGATCATTAAATCATGCAAATTCAGGTTACTAAATTTGCATCCTCTGGTGTCAGTGTGCTCCAAGTATTTTTCAGGTTTTCTACTAAGCAGGAGGATATTAGTTAGAGACTAGACCAGAGGTATAGGGATAGAGTGGTCATGGCCACAGCAAAAATACATCATAAGATCGTTGTTCCTAAGAAATGCTGAAACAGAACTTTAATGAACATGCAAAATAACTCCCTAGGAACAGTGACCATTCTTCAGTGCATGGAAATAAAAAACAAGAGTGGAAGTTAAATAAATACTACACACTTGATAAATCCTGAAGTGGAATGTGACAGCTATCCACTTGTATGATTATCCACCTTTGATCAGTCAAGTAATACAGAGAAGTTACAGATTACAGAGGTGAAGAGAAAGAAAGGGAGAGCAAGAGGGACAGAGAAGAGAGTGGGAGAAAGATAAAAACAGCAAGAATAGTTTTCTTCCCTCTTCCCCTACTGTTGCTGTAGAAACTACATATTCCATTTCAGTGAAGCACTTATTTCAATGGAAGACTGTCCAGACAAGTGAGTCATTTGCTTGGATATTAGCATATGCATAACAATTTTATCAGAAAGTGTTATAGGTTTTTTTTCTCAGCCCAGTAATACAGTTTCCTCATTCCTTCACAAAATAGGTGAGTTAGTTGTGCACTTTTCAGAAGGTATTTGTTTGTGATATGATTGACCTAAATCTAGGCTATTTCACTATGGAAAATTGTAAAATGAACCAGAACAATCCCACACAAACTCTGTAAACTAATACAAGATGTCACTGCCACTACAGGAGCGTACTTTTTAGTTTGCTTACTCCACTTTTCATTTCCCCACCAAGGCACTACTCCTTGCTCCCTAAATGCTGATAATTATTGGATATTGGGTGTTCCTGAGGTATTTCTCTTTCAATTTCTGCCTCTTAGATAAAAGTCATGAAGCTTACTTTTTCTCCTTTTAATCATTTACTCAAGAGACTAGAAATCAAATAAGTTGGACAGGTTTGTAACTGCTTCAGATATTTTCCCCTTGGCTCTTATTTTCTCTGTTTGATTTTAAGAGATCTTTAATTTATCCATCTCTTACTTTCAAAATACAAATTGTGCTCTGCTCTCAGCTGCACCAAGGAAGACAGCAAACTGTAGGTCTTGAGGTTCTGGCTAGTGACAACAAACCTCCGCGAACACCAAGGAATCCTAAAAAATACAGTCAAATGTGATCTTGAAACTTCAGCATATGCTGATCAAAAGCTTGCTACTAAGAGAAAAAATGTCAGGGTTTTTTGGTTTTAATATTTTTTCCAAAGTTATAGCCTAATGGCATAACATTTCTGACCCATTTAATTGCTTTCTTACAGCTACAGTTTAAAAAGTGTGCCTTTCTGAAATAGCCTCAAAACAATCAGCTCAGGTTCTAAATTGTGTAAGTTGTCTTTGTTATCTTGTTATCTGCTTCCTTTATTCACATATTGTATATGAGTGAAAAAGTTAAAATATATTAAACCTACTGATATTCTAGTAAGGCTTCGGGTAAATCTGATTCAGGCTCTTGATCTTGCTCTTCTGGTTTCTTCTTTTTCTTACTCTCTTCCATGGTTTTTTGGGGGTTTTTTTTGGTTTTTTTTTTATTTTTTTAATACTTGTGCTAGAAGTGAAGGAAAAAAATATAGAGATGAATCATTTACAAAACATTGTGTGTTCACTGGCGTTTGTCACTTGTGACAAGCTTGTAACAGTTCTGAAATAAAGTAAAACAAGTTGGTTTTTGACAGCAACAATCCTGCTCAGGGGTAGCACTCAGGCCCATGTCTACATATATATATCTATATATCTCTCTCTATATATACACATATCTATACATACACATATATATGTGTGTGTGTGTATACATATATATGTAATGTATATATATGTAATGTGCACCTGAGTAGATACAGTGTTCTCTATCACCAGTTACTTATTGCATCCCTTGCTACAGGTTGTCTTTTAATTCTTGCAAATCAAACCAGATGTTGCTCCTTTTCCAGTCCTTTGTTTCTTTATCATGCTTGTTTTATCAAGTCCACTTGTTCACTCTTTCTCTCTCCTTCTGTTCTCCTAGCACTATGAATATCTCCCTTTCACCACAACTCTGACACCAGTTTTCATTGTCAGAGCTGGAACAAAAGCACTTTCTGAGGGGATATGCATTTCAGCAATATTCCCTGGGCATGCTGTCACAACTACCAACCTCAGAATTCCACTGACAATGAACAGTTCTGCAATGGAACTGGTAGCATATATCACACAAAATAAAAAATGTCACAAGAAAGGGCACTTATGAAGATTCCTCGCTTTTAGCAGTCACATAATCCAATTTTCCAAACCGAAATAGTTTACATAATATAGAATGTTTTATTACTGCATGAGCAGTAATATTGTATATCACCTGGTTTTGTATTAAACTGCTTCTCTGAATTTGAATTCTGAATTTTACAATAATAGGTGAAATTGATAAAAACTTGTTCTGTGACTAAATACAGCAGGCTGGATACTTTTTCCTGTTAAAATGAGCACAAGTAAACAGGAAAAAATACAGTAAAAAACCACATAAGCAAGTAAGTGAAATCAATGTAATGAAGTGAAACTATTGGCAGATGCACTGCAACCCAAACACTGTCCTGTGCCTTCTCACCACACTCCCCATACCCTGAAGCAAGGCCATGTCACTTTTTGTCCTATTTCATATACAAACTTTGCAGTTTCCAGTTCAGTACAATATTTTTTCATTAAACTTCCAAAAATCCTAAAGACATGGCTGTTGCAAGACATGAGATAAATAAAAAGGGTTTAAAAGAAACCCAAACAAGCAAGTAATTAAGCAAAAAACCTCAGAGGCAGGAAGTTAGGTATTTTGTTCCTCCTAGACCCCTTTGAAATTTCCAAACCGAATGCTCAAGTGCAGGATACACTTGTTAAGAGTAAAAAAGAATCCATCACACTTCTTCAGTGCAGAATTAACTGGACTGCTACTGATTCCATTTCCACTTGAGCATTTATTTCACTGATTTTCCCCAGAAACTGAAGATCACTACAGCACTCCCTAAGGTTTTCTTTAAATTGCTTCTGTCCCTTTCACTAAATGGATAATCAGATTCCTTGCTTAAAACTGGATACAAACCAGAAAATTTTGAGTAGAAGTATTTTGAAAAAGCTTAGGGTGTTTGTTTTTTTTTAAACTACAGACTCAGATGAACTCCAGTGATATATTTATGAAATTGTTCCCAAGTAGAGTAGAACAAGAAAGCCTCCAAGCTACAAAAGGTGAAAGAACACATGCTACAATAAAGGATTTTGCAAACTATAGAAAATACTCACACATGAGAGAGAGAGGAACATATTTAAGGGGACTGAGGATTGACTGCACATTTGAAACCCACAGTACAATATTTAGAGATGGAAAGATCTATTTGTTCTCCCAAACAAAACTGTGAGGCTCTTGACTGATCCTCTTTATCAGCACCAGCACTATCTCAAGCAACAACTACACTGTTATTGCATCCTCAGAAGGAGCATGCAGTTTCCTGACACTGCAACCCAACTACAGTGACTTTCCAGACACTGTTTACAGAGACCACCTGTACAGCAGCTCACCACTCCCATGAGCCAAATCATTACCATTAACACCATCCAAACTAGCACTTGCACTCACATAATAATCTCCATATACTGAGCAGCTGCACTACCAGAAGCCTCCACTCCCAAAGTCCCCAACATTTATAGACTCACAGAATACACTGAGTTGGAAGGGTCCTGTCAGAATCATTGAGTCCAACTTCGGGCCCTATGCAGGACACTCCAAGAATCACACCATGTGCCTGACAGCATTGTCCAAACATGCCTTTAAATCAGCTTTAGGCTATCCATCCCTCAAATCCTCTCACTGGTTACTAGAGAGGAGATTGGTACCAGCCCCCTCCCGAGGAAGTTGCAGACTGCAATGAGGTCTCCCCTCAGTCCCCTTTTCTCCAGGCTGGACAGAACAATGACCTCAGCCACTCCTCATATGGCTTCCCCTTAGGACCCTTCACCATCCTCATGGCCCTCCTTTGGAAGCTCTCCAAGAGATTAATGTCTTTCCTGTGAGGTACAAAACTGCACAGAATATCCAAGGTGAGGCTGTCCCAGGGCAGAGCAGAGCAGGGCAATCCCCTCCCTAGCCTGGCTGGCCATGCTGTGCCTGATGCCCCCAGAACCCGCCTGGCCCTCCTGGCTGCCAGGGCACTGCTGGCTCATGTTCAGCTTGCCATCGACCAAGACCCCCATGTCCCTTTCCACTGGCTGCCGTCCAGCCTCTCACTCCCCATTCTGTCCCGGGGTTGCCCGTCCCAGGTGCAGAATACAGAAAATCTATTACCTCAGCCATGCTACAACATCGTATCCCCTTCCCAATCTCCAAAACAGGCTAACAATTCCCTCTGCCCTCAATCCGTCCCTGGCTAACACTTCCCCTGACATGTCCCTTACACTATTCCCCCCAGCCCCCTTCACCACCAGACCCCTCAATGGACAAAGCTGGGCCACCCCTCACCGAGGCCAGCGCCTCGCTGCCCGCAGGCACCAAATCGCGCTGGTGCTGTCACCCTGTGCCTCAGCCCCCCCGCCACCCCTTCCCGCCACCGCCGGAGAGCTCCGAGGCACCTCCCCCGGCCCTGCCCGCACCCCGACCCGCGTCCCCCCTCACG